GGCCCGACCTCACCAGATCTAGCCAGGTCGTGCCTCGCCCAGCCGCTGGCGAGGATCAAGCCCTACTAGCCATGGGCGAGGCCCAACCTCGCCAGATCCGGCGAAGTCGTGCCTCACCTAGCCGCTGGCAGAGGCCGTGAGGTCAAAGGCCGCGACCTCGCGGCCACTGGCGAGGGCGAGGCTCACTGTTTCCGTCGCTGGCGAGGGTGAGCCTTGCTAGTGGCTTGTGGGGCTCGCCTGCCATGGCCTCCAACCGGTCGTCGAATGGTCGTGAGGGCGGGGCTCGACCCTTGCCAGCCCAACGCAAGGCCACCCTCACTGCCATTCAACCTCGCCGGATGGTCATGAAGGCGGCCTCGCGCTGGGATGTTGAGGGTCGAACCCCGCCGGCCATGGGGGAGGCCCGACCTTGCCAAATTCGGCTAGGTCGTGCCTCGCCCAGCCTCTGGCAAAGATCGCGAGGTCGAAGGCTGCGACCTCGTGGCCACTGGCGAGGCGAGACTTGCCGTCGCCATCATTGGCGAGGGCAAGCCTCGCCAGTCGCCGTCGTTAACGAGGGCGACCCTCGCCTCTAGCCGGCCACCGGACCAACGACTGACTGGAGGAAGAAGAAAGGAAAAGAAAAAAAGATTAAAAATATTAAAAACATTCGAAAAATATTATTAAAAGTTGTCAACGTCATCGCCGGCAGTGCCACATAAGCCGGCCGGCATCCACGACAACAAAATCCGATCAAAATTAGCCTGAATGACTGAATTGGCACAAAGACAAAAAGTTTAGGACTGAATTGACACCAAAAAAAGGTTTATGACTAAATTGACACCAATACAAAAGGTTTATGACTTTTTCGACACTTTTCACTACTTTGAGAGAGTGGTTCTGAGCGTTTGTATGTTCAAGAATGAGTGCTTGTGAGAGAATCCCATCTCCTGTTTCGGCCTCCAATCTTGCCCTCACTTTTTTCATTCTTCATTCCCTGCGATTATCTCTGCCCTTCAGCCGTGATTTGCCCTTGAAATGCCGAGATTCCCAGTTGCCAATCATGGTTAAAGAGTGTTTGTTTCCCTCTTGTACTTGTTCCCTTCTCTTATTTGTTTCTTTCTTTGAATCCCTCTGGTGATATCTGGCAACTTAAGGCCGAAATTTGCCAAAGAAAGGCGCGGAAAGAAGTGACTGTTCCTTGCTTGATTGGTCTCCTTCCTTCTTGCAGAGATCTTGACCTCAAGTATAAGGAAAAGATAGATCTTTCCCTTCCTTAGATGGCCAGCTAATCACTTCTCTTCCAAATGATTTTCTTCCAAATTTCTTCTTCTCAAGTGCACAATCCAGCTGTCCCTTTTCTCATGTCATGGGCGAGATTCATACTACCTCATTAGGCCGAGTACATTCTGAAGATATTTGATCAATTTTGCACAAATTAACATGTGCCAACTTTGACAAAAATTGCTCTCCTACCCCCTTAATTATTAAAATTCAAGCATGTTAAGGCTAACCGAAAATCACTTTGATATACTTATGAAATGTGAACTTATAGAATTATTTTTAGAAAGAAGAATCTTTACTCTATGTATAATGCAAACTCAAAGGAGGATTTAAAACTCAAATCATGAAAGCCCATGCAAGTTGTTGAAATGAATTTTTTATCTTCCAACCATGGATAAAATTGTAATCTAATATTTAACAAGATTATCAAAAAGTAGTTCCTAAATCTCTCAAATTTCCAAAATTTTCAAATTTACAAAGTCCAAATTCATTTGTCTAAATTCTACCGAATCTTTGAATTTTATTGTTTTTCCTACCTATGTGATACTTCACTACTTTAGCTTTGTATTTGATAGTCATCCAAATTACCAAGAATAACACTAAAGAGAAGAATCTTAAGCATACTAAACAATAAAGTACCGAAAAGAAAGCATGAAATAAATACTGTAAAATAAGATTTTATTTTTCTAAAAAGTGTGTTGAGTATAGTCTGGAATGGATTTGGTAGAGAAAGCAATGACTTGCTTGCAACGACGCGATCGAATTCGTCGCAACAGAAGAGCGATTGAGTATATCCATCCTCGACACCACCAGGTCCTCCAGTGATTCGATATCGCCCTTCTCGATCAGCCTATTCCCTTGAAAGAGGAACTTCTTGCGAGCCGCATCAGAACTCTTCACGCCTTTCGGAGATCGACGCCCTCCCACTAGTCCACGGGTTCATCCTCATGCTTGCCTTCCAGCCTTTCTCTTCCGGCCGTCGTTCACGGAGTTACAATCACGGTTAGAGTCCATCGGTGATTATGAACTCAATAAATCTGAGATTTCACTTGCCTCATAAAATCCGGAGCTTTTAATAATCTCTCCGGTTAAACAATTATGGAAAATGGTAACGAGCTGCCGGAGGAGAAAGGCCAGAAGCGCAAGCTGCAGGACGAGCGGTCGACAAGCGAAAGAGCGTCAATCACAGAAAAAGAGACCGCGAAGAGTTCCGGTACTATTCCAATGCGGCTCGTAAGAAGTTCCTCTCTCGAGTGAATCAACTCATCGAGAAGGGCGGTATCAACTCACTAGAAGGCCTGGTGGTCCCAAGGATCGATACAATCAACCCTCCTTCTCTGGGGACGAATCCGATCGCGTCGCTACTAAAGTCGCCGTCTACTTGCACAATCGCCTCGCTATCTAAGTGAATAAGATTTTTTCATCTATACCCTAGCACCATGTGATGGAGCTTATAAAGGAAGACGGCTGGGGTCTTGGGCCCAGTGTTTTGCATGCTTGAACCGCTATTGGCGTAATCACCACGCAAATTCTAAAACGCTCTAAAAAATGTGATTGAATTCTACAACTATCAATTCATTCAGTTTTTTTTTTTTTTTTTTGGTAAGGAAATCAATTCATTCAGTTTAGGTCTTAAAAATCGTAAAATTTGTACATTTGAGTCTTGTTAACTCCATAGACATAAAATGCCACATGACTTCTTTCATTAATTTTTTATTCCTAAGTAGTCGTTAAAATTGTGATGGAGCTCTCTTCAAGGCATAATGACATCAAAGTCTTGGTGCCATATGCACAGGCGAGGATGCGTCAGCAAAGGCTGAGTGGATTGCCACCCCCATCCTTTAGCAAATCCTCTGCCATCCTCTGCTTTTTATAATTTTTCTTTAATTTTGAGATCAGATTTTTAATTTCAGTTTTCAATTTTAATAAATTTCAATTTTCAAAATTGTTCCAACGTGGCTTCAAACATTGTTTTGTGTTCAAAGATTGAAAATGATTAAAAGAAAACCACGGAGGATCGGAAATAATTAAAAAATAAAAAGTCGCGTGACGTTCTCCATCCATTTAAAACTTACCAAGTCATCTAGAAAACTCGATTGCATAAACTTGATAAGTTTGAGAATTTAAATTCACGAATTGAAAGTTTAAAAATTTAAATGCACAAATAGACAGTATTTAAAGCTTTCACTGAATTTTTTCCAACCACTATTGATACAAGCCCACCTATGGATAGACGGCTTTCCCGAATTCTTTGGGGGGCCATGGCCCATGTGGGCGACCTTTTGCATTTGACTTCTGCTCAAACATGTAAATTTGTGAGTTCACATGAAAACCTATTCCACTCTATTGACTGTAGACATGCTAGGGGTATAGGAAGGGCACATGGTATTATGACCTCAAATTAATACCTATCCTATACTTATTGTTTCCGAAATTTCGGATTCTTAAACCTACCCCGCAAGCTTTAATATCCACCTTGGAGTACACCCGACCATGTCGATTTTGCAGGTTCCGCGTGTTCTCCTACGCACCCCTTGCACGAATTGTCTAGGGTATAGGATCCAATCCCATTCATTCATCTCCAAGTGGAGATAACTTGTGTTTATATTTTTTAACCCACTAATCAAAAGTTTGAATGAACGAAATTTCCTCCAATCAAATATGAAATAAAATATGACCTACGAAGATATTGCCAGTAAAGTTTTTTTTTTTCTGTCCTATTCTAACTCTCAACTCACTCTCAGACTTTTGTCCTACCTCTTGCAGGACGTAAGAGTCAAAACCCACATCTGAAACTACACGTCTCTCCCTTGCTCTCCTGAAAAGGTGGGGATTCGAACTCCCCACCTCCCATTTTCTAAATAGGAAGGGTGGCCACTAGAAATTCGAAGTTAAGTTGAAGTCTTCTCTTGATAATCGACAGCACAGCTTTTCATTTCTTATCGAAAAATTCTTCTCTCCCCTCGACTTTTTGTTATTCTGCATTTGATTTTGATGTTTCGTCCGTATATGGCGTGCCTTCATTTATTACTAAAACTAAATATTAATCTGTAGCAAAGGTTGCTATTTTTCTTGGTCGCTCAACCGTGTTTGTCCGTCCATTTGGTCTTTTCCTAAGAAAACACAGAAAAGAGGGACCCGCTTGGCAAATTCGTCAGTACATCAAATGGGACATTTCTTCTCTCATTTTGTTGCTTTGCCTTTCATTATCAAAGCATTTTCTCTTAAAGTTAGCATAAGGATGTGATCGTATTGAATGAGTCACGCGTAGATTTCAGTAGCTTTATTGGTATTTTTTTTTTCTTTACTTCCTGATATATTATCCCATTCACCTTCGCCAGTATGCAAGATGTTGGAGCTTCAACGAGTTATTCAATGGAAATTAGATATCTAGTTAGGAAGATTAGTCGAGTGTTCTAAGAATAACAAATACTGAAAGCTATGAAATAACCGTGTGTCTTGATTTGCGAAATTCTTGAAAATCAACTAGTCGAGCTGAAACTTCTAATAACTTGTGTTATGAAAAAGAAAAGATATGGTTTGCTTATTGTAACAATACCAATTATTTTTTTTAATTTATTATTGATTAGTTGTATTACCAGATCATTGATTCTTAACCAAGACCGCCAACGATGACTAAACATCCTAGAATTGTCAACGTTAGAGATAACCTCTATCTCTTTTCCCTGTCCTCTCTATTAGAGAAAAAAACAAACAATAGGAAGCAGCCGAGAATGTAGTTCTTATCCATCTATCTACCGGCAGAAAAAAGTCCAGCCTGTACATCATCTACCAAATTTCACACCCCACCGCCACAGAGGTCATGTTGATTATACCCTCTTCAAAATCTTGATATCCACTGAAACAAAATAGGAAAACAGATAAAGAAGATTAAAAAGTATCAAAACTATCAATAGCTTTGATCACCATTCCTCCTCCTCTTGACCCTAACAACATGTTGGAAAGTGCCTTGTGGAATCAACTGGTGCCAATTCTCCACCACCCCATAGTCCAAATCATAGTATTGATGATGGTTTACCTCTGACCCTTCAAAAGAGCAACTCTCTGGGAACCCGGCCACTCCCTGGCATGGTGGCTTACTTTTCCGGCGGCCGGCCCCGACAGGGACATTCCTCAGGGCCCCGCCGGCAGTCCAGTACCTCTGGCAACCTTTGCAGAAATGCCTGGGCTGGTTTACATTGTAGTTGTTGAAGTAGCAAAATTTGGTCTCCATGCTCTTGCATCTCGGGCATGGTATGATCTTGTCTGGCCTCTTCATTGCCTCTGCTAGCGCTTCTTGGTTTCTGGTTGTAGTTGTTGTTGTTGTTGTTGTTTTTGTGCTAATTGGGGCTTCCGTCTTGACTTGTTGATCTTTAAATCCTTGCAAAGTGATTGTTGCTCCAAAGAGCTTGATCCCTTTTGAGTCTTGGCCTCCATGGCTAGTGTCTGCCATGAGATCAAGAAATGGATTTATGTTCTAGAGAGAGAGAGAGAGAGTATGTAGTGAAATGGTTGGAGAGATTAGGGAAAGGGATCCTCAAGAATTCGAGAGAGATTGTTGTTTTGCGGTGTAATGAGAGAGAGGGATCGTGTAATGAAATGGTTGGAGAGATCAAGGGAATGGGTCTCCCAAGAATTGGAGAGCGATCGTTCTTGTGTGGTGTACTGAGAGAGAGAAAGAGAAAGGAATATATATCGGTGGGAGGAGAAGGAAAAAAGTGCACAACCGAGAAAGAGAGAGAGAGAGAGAGAGTATAAAATCAAATAAAGGTCATGGAGCAGCAGCCAAGGTAAAGGAAACAAGAGTAGGTGACGTGAAAAAGCAGATTATGAGCTTTTTGTCCACATCATTACTCCACGTCATCAATTCCACAGTGATTTGATTTGATATTTTATTATCATAAAGTCCGGAAAAACAAATTCCGGGTTCCCATCTTGAAAGGTTGCGTAACAAGTGTCAAACAGTCCCCAAATTGAGAAGCATAAAGACATCGGAGGTGTTGTCCTAGTCAAGTTCTGAAATATCCCACCGGAAGAATTTAGAATATATGCAATGATGATAAACTCTCCATATCTACCGTTGAAAATCCATGTCTATCCGAAACAACAGCAGTTAAATGAATTCCAACCGTAATTTCCAGTGTGAACAAAAAGGAATCAGAGTTTGTCTTGGCAGCAGTTAGCTCTAATGATTATCCAATAAACAAAGTTAGGTCCAAAACCTTTCGTTAGGCCAAAAAAAAATGATCTAATAACTTGTGCGCTTGGTCTTTCTATAGTAATAAGAGGAGGAAAAGTCTACAATGACTAAAAAATAAGGCTCCGTTTGTGCTAAAATGATCAAATCTAGACGTTAAACACATGAATAGAAGGCGAAAAGCAGACGCAACAGTGACTCAGACCCTTAAACTTTTCATCTTCCGTTGGAGAGGTTTTGCAGGTTAGAACATATTTGATTTTTCTTTGCTGTCTCTTTACTTGTAGTGCAGTTATTGGAAAAGAAAAAGGGAAAAAAGAGAAAAATATAATAAAATTGCTGTACTTACAAAAGATAATCTAGAAAAGGGGGGATGAATAATGCAAATGTGCCATAAATGGAAATGAAAACTCCCCCACATAGATCATATCCAAAAGAACAGATGCCGGGGCATCGAGAGCTCCAGGTGGCTATCATCACACATCACTTTGTTCTCTACACTTTGTTATGCCCTTGTCTTTCCATCATGCTGCTTTAGACTTTGTTTGGCACCAAAAGTTGCTATAAAGCACCCTCAATTTTAGCAAAAAGTTAACCGGGAAATTAGAGCACCCAAATCTTTCTTTTTTTCACTATTAAGAAGTCCACACATTGCATCTTTTTCGTTTTTTATTTAATTACTAAAACTTTATAGATCAAAAAATTAATCATTAAATACATTTGCAAGTGTTCTAAATTACTCGTTAACGATACCCTTTTCTTTTTTTCCTTTTTATGATGCTTTCTTCATTTCATCTCCTTGTCATTTCCAGCACACATTGTCACTCTGGTATTCTTCTATAGCACATATGATTGTGCCCACTAAGATGCCCAAAAGGGCAAAGGCCTAAGAAAAGTTGTGTGTTTATCGTTCCAAAGAGGAGGCTTTATCATTTTTTTTTTCCTATTTCTCTTTATTTTTTACAGATTAACGACATATAAAGAGACTATTATTAAGATTGCTATGTACGATAAGTAACGAAAAAAAAACATAAAAAGAGCTCAATATATTTTTCTTTTGTTTTCTTATATATTTCTCCATAATTGAAACAAAGCTGTTAGTACTTACTTATTTAAGAAAGAAAAGATGAAGAAGAATAAACACAAAAGGTTTAAAAATAATCTCGCCCAATTAGATGAAAAATCAAGGTGACTGACATCATCACTCACCTTGTTCCTTAAATAAAATAAATAAATAAAAAGATGGTGCAACATCATCATCTACTCACATAATTCCCACCTTTAGCAAAGAAAAAGTTCATAAATGGAGATGAAATGAATGTATTTGTCGACTGGTGAAGGCATAGTGTTCCTATTAAAGATAGATTCTCTTCGTAGATTGTCATTCCTATTTACTTTTAGGGCATCTTTTCAGCTTTCAGATGGGCCTCTTACACCAACTTTTCTTGCCGTCTTTTCAACATTTTAAAGTTTTCAGGGTTCTTTTGTTATCGACTTTCAGTTGCAATTTGAGTGAAAAAGCAGTTTTATTGTGCGAATTGCTTTAATAAAGGGGATCCGGTTAAGCTAATCCCAAAAGCAGCCTCATTTCCAACAGCTTTCCAACATAAAAAGTAAGAAAAAGGGAGCATTTTCTTCCCTTTCAATTGGAAAGAGCGATGTCCTTTTTCTTTAGGGTGCTTTGGAAGTCGCTTTCCAATTAAAAATTCATAAAAAAAAAGTCTAAAGAAACCATAAAGACTAAACACTTTAATTTTGATTGATCGAGGCACTCCTAGTCTACTCTTCTAAAATAATCTCAATTAGGTATAATGGCAAATGCCAAAGGGATATATACGTACCCTTTTGACTTTAGGGGTAAACCAACTTAATTTGCTCCTATAAATCCTTCCTAAATCATGAGACAACACTCAAAAATAGATTATGGATGGAGATGCAAGTAACTTATTATTTCATCATCTTTCAAATAACGGGATCACGGGATGGACTCGAGAGAGCCAATTTACCACCCGGAACTAAGAGAATCTCAATTTACTGACAAGTAAAGGTGAGAATCAATTAATCGAAAATTTACTTGAAGATGTCGTTGTGCTGACCTGATGTTACATACCGATATTTAGCAGCAAACATTATTAATAACATATATCTCAATGTTTCAAAAAAAAAATTCAGCAAATGCAATTGCTTTCTTGATTGGCTTCACCACAAATATCTTCTCGAGTTTAACTTCATGCCCTTTGGAAAACCCATCATGAGTGCCCTAATAAAGTCTCTTAGATATTATGATTAAAAAAATATGGGCAATTTTGGATTTTTGTGGGAAAGATTTTATATATATGTTGCTTGCTGCTATGGCTCTTGGTTACCAAGTTGGTTTATATTAATGAAGCAAGAAAAGTCTACTTTTTTGCCTTTACTTTTGTTTACTATTCTTAATGTGTACTTTTTCTTCCAATTGGTGCAAGTTGGGGAAGCAAAATGTTTAGTGCCAGCCCATAACCGGTTCAGTGCAGATTAAGCCAAATATTAAGATAATGATTTCCTGGATAGGGTTTCCTGCCGGTGCATGCACTTTTCTTGAGACAAACATTTAAACGTGTGCACGGCGAAATCAAACCAATAACTAATCTTTACCCCAATTGTCAATGGGTTCTCCCAAGTCAAAGTGAAAAGGGGGAAACAAAAGAGAAGTTTCTACATGCAGATCAAAATATTAAATTTTTGATATGATCATTGAAATATTATTAGATACATAGAATAATGAATTGTCGAAACTATTTTCAGTGGGAAATGTGTAAAGGCGTTCAGGGACGGCGGCCAGTTCGGTTGGTGCGTCGCGAAAAATTAATGATTCGAAAAGCATTTTCCTAAAAGCTTGTCGCATGTATCGTTTAGAAATATTAGTCAACAGAAAACATTTTCATCATTAACGTCAATTCATGTCTTGTGGTTTTGCAACAGTATCAATTCATCATATCTATGTCAAAACTATTTTCAATGGGAAATTTTTTTTCCAGTGAAAGTACAGTCGTGCAGGGATCGGCGACCGGTTCAATTGGTGCGTCGCGAAAAATTAACGGTTTAAAAAAAATTTCTTAAAAGCCGATCGCTTGTAACGCTAAGAAAAATTAGTCAATGGAAAATATTTTCTTCATTAACATTAATTCATGCCTTGTCGGTCTACAACACTATCAATTCATCACATATATATATATATATATTCCTCTCTTAGTAGGAAAATTAGGAATAATTATTCATTAAGGTGATCATTATCTTATTTAACACGAACCCTTGATTCTAGCCACCCGCTGCTGTACCAGGCAAGCAAGCACATGGCATGCAACAGCTGGTGAGCCACTTTGGTTCTTCAAAATCAGTTTTATATGCTCTCTTTTTTTTTTATAAATAAATAAAAAACAATATTAATCTGGTTTGAGTTATTATTTTATAAATAAATTGCTCTTTTTCTGCCTTGATTCCTGGCTGAAGGCAAATGACACAATCATGGCATATCCCCTAGATAATACCAACGGGTATTTAATTAAAAGGTACGTCGTGATGGGATTTTTTTTAATTTACTTTTTTAATCAATTGATTATTCATTTATACAGAGATTCTTTCGAGCCCATATAATAAAGTGTGATTTTTTTTTTAATAATTTCCTTGGCCTTAATCTCAACGCAAGGACTACTGAACTATGGCAAAGCTCGTATAAAGTAATGCGATGAGGCTTCCCCCTCTTTTCAACTTATGGAACAATTTCGATGTGATCCAGCGACCGAAAGAACATGACTCCTAATCGAATCCTGCCCATTAAAAAAAAAAAGAGAGATGCTAAAGAATTATTAACAAAAAGGAAACTAATTTTAAATGCATATATTCCGCCACAATGAAAAAGGGAAAAAGAAAATCCACCGTCGAACCGTTAAGCAAGACGGGTTCTTCTTTAAAAGAAGTGGCGATTCTTTGATTATAACTTGTCGTCATATTTTACTTTTGTTCTTTATTTTTATATATATATCGTTGAAGCACATAAGAATATAGTATTTACGATTAACGGGAGAAAATATTTATCTATTGACCGTCCAAAAATTGGAACCCATCTTTCAAGGATCTTTAGAAATCCCTATAAAAGAAAAGAAATAAGTTATTCTAGAGTAAATAATTACTTGGGAGTCGGGATTCGCGTTGATTTAGGGTGCGTTTATTACGGCGAAAATGAATTATTTGAAAATCATTTTTCTATAAATAATCGTTTGTATCGGTTAAAAAAACGAACGAAAAAAAAATTCATTGTCCCCAAAAATATGTATCCATAAATTATTATTACTAAAATATTTTTTATTAAGTAATTATTTCAAACGATACAAGAAATCATCTTTAGATAATATTTTTCAATTTATTCATTTTTCGCAAAACAAACGAAATCTTAATTTCCTTTGAAACTAAAAAAGGAAACAGATGCTTCGTAACACAAACCAGAAATCAAATGGTCAGTTTCTTAATATTGGTCCTACAAATTGCATACTGCTGGTGTTTGCTTTGCAGATCGCAGGTCATCGGAATCATTGTCCTTGAACAAAAGAAGCAGAAAGATCATCTTGCAATCCTACGAAAGAACACTCCAAAAGACTGGTAGAAAGGAGACAGTGTTTCCCGCCCTTGGCTGAAGAGCAAAACAAGTACGCAACCGCAACATCAGCTCATTCAAGAGAAAGAAGCTATTCATGATGCAATCAAGCATTCTGAGAGAGAGAGAGAGAGAGAGAGAGAGAGAGAGAGAGAGAGAGAGAGAACGCGGAAGACGAGTGCCAAAACGGGTATTACATGGTTACATATTACCGATGGATCTGGATCGGGAATCATAGATTACACGGCAATCGATCTCTCGCGTGAACCCCGTGCGTATTTAGCCATCAAGGAATCAATTCAAAAAACTAAAGAACAGGCTACGCCCTACACGATAATTACAGGAGAAAAGCTTATATTATTCACATGTACAACGACACCAGCCAAGCCCAACTCCTCATCGGGAATAAAAAGGTTCCCTTCGCGTTCTCGAAAAATGTCATCCTGGGGAAAGTTTATGTGTCGCTCCAGCTATCGTTTTCGTCACCGTCCTCGCTTGCAACAGCCTGATATTTTTCATCAAAGAAGAGACTCGATAATTAGAAGATTTAAAAACAAGAACAAGGAGGAATGAGAGAGACAAAGAAGAATTTGGGAAACCTGGCGGATTGCATTTGCCTTCTCCAAAATCGCGGTGACATTTCCACTGGCGGTTCGAGCTGTTGCAGCAGTCGGCTTCCCTGTCTCAGTGCGCCTTAAATTGAATGACTGGCATGACAAGAACACGAGAAGCGAGGCCACATTAAGTTGCTGCATTAACTTGGCCTTAGATAAATTACATGAAATCTCAGACAACCACTAATCAATGTGCACCCTCAAAATTACACTAAGATAGGACTAGCAAAAATTTGGTCATTCAACAAATCAAAAGACGCTTCAGGATGAAATGCTCCATTATCTGCATTATATAAATCAACATAGAAAAGAGCAGCTCCTTTCTTCACAGGATAACCACAAAAATTGAATTTCATCGTTATTGTTTCCACAATGGCAGAACATAGTGGGAAGAAACAAAACGGAAAGAGAACGGAAAGAAAGGAAGGTGGAAGTATAGAGAAAACGGAGACACACATACTTCTTTTTGTTTGTTAGGAAGAAGGTTTAGAGAAGAAAAATGAGATTATTTATCGCATGTCCTCCGTCATTTTGTGATTGTGTTTGATTATATTAGTTTCATCAGGAAAGAAAATGATGAGAACCACTCAAACCTTGAGCTGACAAGTCTGGAACAGCATCAGGGAATGTGAGAACCATATTCTGGGATTTTATCGGATTAAGATGCAGTACTGACATCAATTCGCATTTAAAATAACATGTTTTTGGGCCTCTAGAAAGGAGTTATCTGCTTTCCCTCCACGAATTTGCCAAAACAAAAGAAACATATTTAGAAACAGATGTTTGAACATAAATTTTTTATGACTCCACAAAGTAATATCTGAATCTATATGTGCGTGAAGTTTTAGGTATTCAATAAGAAATGCAGCAAAATCGATAAACAATAAGTCTAAAGCAAGAAGTCGCCATAAACATGCTTAAGCACCTTTCTAATATAGTTGGATCTTGACAAGGAGAAGCATGACATGTACTCACTTTATTTCTTATCTGAAGTAGAAAATCCTCCCTTTCATCTGTCTCCTTGACCTTTGCCTGATTAGCCTCTTCATGTGGGTTCAATTTCGGCTGATCCTGAAGCTACAACCTCTTTTTTTTTAGTTAAAGCAATTATAGAAGAAAGAAAATGACAATTCTCAGTGAAAGACAAAGTACCTTTCCGCTTAACAATTCAGGGCCCTTGATAGTTACAGTTTCCAAGGCTGAACCTTGTTTAGGTTGCTTAAAGATACTCTGATCCAAATTATTACACTCAGGATCATGATTAAGAGATTCAGATACTTCTTCTCTAACTTCTGCAGCATCTGAGTATGGCTTTGAAAGCTGCCAATCCACGGGAGGAGGAGGAGGAGGAGGTGTTGGTGGCAAAGGCTGATGAGGATAATGCTTCTCCGTATAATTCTCTGGATCACGGCCAACATTTTCTTCTTGCATAGGTACAGATACCATGGAATCAAAGCTAGGAAGATCAAGTGAAGGACCATGAACATAGCTAGAAAAGGATGGTAGAGGTTCTAGACCATCTTCAGTTGGCAGACTCTCATATTCACCATTGACACACATTTTTTGATTGGAAGAGGTTGAAGTAGAATCTGTTGGTGAATCTCTGCAGAGAGCATCAAATTGATCGTGCTCCTTGCTCCCCCTGGGTGTTTCACTGGATTCCCACTGCTCTGAGTTAGACTCGGAATGAGGACTGAGACAGTCATCTGAGATATAAAGAGACGATCTACAGAATGTTCCGTCATCAGAGTCAGAACAGACGTCACGAAATGGGACATTAGGCTCTGGAACCAACTGGAAAGAAGGAAACATATCATTACTGCTTTCCTGACGGTTCTTGTCATGGGGAAATTTCAAGGTCAATCTTGAAGCTTCGAAGCCATGCAGAGGGTGGAAAGATATTTTCATATGCTCAAGTGGTGGGGAAGGGGGAAGTGAATACGTAGGAGAAACACTTTGAAATTGATCGATGAAATTTCTCCCTGCAGTTGTATGAAATGAAGACTCGTGCTTCCTCCAACTCTGCTCCAGGACATTATCTTTCGTAGTGTCATATGGTTTTGGTTTTTCATCACTAACTAGTGAGATTTTTCTCCGGAAGCTATTCATGAGTAACTTATGGCCAAGTCCAAAAACTCCGGATAAATTATCATCATTCTCCTGTATGGATTCACTGTGTGGAACTTTCGCTGTTGGAGCAACTGGCAATGCTCTTCCAGGGGCCACTACTCTGATGGGAGTCGAAAAGTCTCCATTTGGGTGACCATACTTGCACCTCTTATCTAAATCATCTGACTCACTAAACTTGGCATCTAAATCTCGAGATGACGGCAAAATATGAGTCCTTTCTGCAAAGGGACTGTTTTCATTGATCTTGCGTGATGTGGAGCACTTAGACCTAGCATCCCTTTCTATGATATCAGCGTTTTCAGTAGATATATCTAGTTTCCCTTCACATTGGTCATCCTTAGTTCTCATCCCACATTCACGATTTGATGTTGCAAAATCTGGTGGCTTTGCTGGCTCAAGTCCAAGCAAGCCCCCATTTGTCCAGAACTTAACACCAGTACGTTCTGACGGTGATTCTTGACCCTCGCAGATGTTGTCTGTGACTTCATTATGCGGTGGAGCAAAGATCACAGATGAGACATCACCAGCAAAAGTTTCCACTTTCGTATCATCAAGAAGATCAGCACTTTGACAAACTTTAATGGGCGGTAAACAATCTGGATCCGCAAACTTCTGAGGAATTTGACTAGTATTTTCATTGTCACAACTTTCAGTGGGATCTGATTTAGGTACTTCCAAAGACACTTCTTCATTTGAGACAAGATGAGAAGGTGTGTCAGATTCTTGATGTGAAGGATGACCATCTAAAGCACGTGATGGAAGCTCGTCGACTGCAACCTTTATTTCTTCAATGTCAACACTCGAGGACCGTTGCCGCAGTTCTCGTTTGGTTTGATAATCAACATCATTTTCGGATTCTGATTCAATTGTATTCAGAGCATCTTCGAAATTATCAAGCTCACTATCCACATCATCCACCTGGTTCTCACGGGCTTTGGAAGTGTTGGTATTAAGACATAAATCAATATCTGACACATCGACATTTCTAAGTTTATCAGCTTCCTCAGCATCAACGCCCAAAGTCATAGAAATGGTAGCTGAATCTTCCATTCCCTCATACTTCTGCTCCCTGGGCTCCATTATTTCTGTCTTCTCATCCCACCTCACATAATCTGATTTGGAGGCAATAGACTCCTCAGCTGTTTTTTGTGGAGAATAGGTATCAATTACCTGGTTTTCTTCATACGGTGAAACTGAGTCAACAGTTTCCTCACGTAACATCACCCTAGAAGAGGATGACCTATTAGACTCCTCTTCTTCAGGTGGCATGTCGTCACTTGCACGGAAGATGCACTCTATATAGCCTGACCCAGATCTGAAATCGGAAGTACTTCTAGGGTCTCCAATATCTGATTTAATTGTAGAATCAGCTATCGAGGCAGTGGGAGATGACTTTCTGTTCGCAATTGGAGAAGCATATCGCATTCTGCAAATTGACAACCAATTATAATTTATGCACATCAAACTGACTTAGTGTTACAGTCATTCAACAAACATACCTGTCACTATGGTTGGCCATGGGTGCACCGCGTGAAAGTTCCGCATTCTTCGGGAACGATCTTCGCTTCTGTCCATTTCAAAATTTTGATTAGCATAAGATCAAGTAGAACAATTCTATGTAGCTACGTAAAGCAACTATACCAGAGAAACTGCAACAAGTAATATACCTTTGAAGATAAGAAAAGATGGCAATCGGACTATTTCGTCACATAATAAAAGTGAAATCACATACTTAGGTTGGTAACATTGTCTAATACTGCCCTTTAGAAAAAAAAAAAAAACGCACCTTCATCTTGCGAGCCTTCTTGTCTCCCCGGACTTTTCCCACATTTTTTTCATCAGGGCCGGCCGAAACTCTTCTAAAAAAAGTTGGATCTGAATATCTCCTCAAACATGACCCAGGGCCACCAGTATCAAATCTAAAAGCACCAGAATATATCAATATATTCTATGCCTAAGCTAGTCACACCTCTTGTCAATAAGATAAAAAAACAATTTAACAGAGAAAGATGTGACTTACTTGTCAAGCAAGTGCAAACGTGGGGGATCCCGACACTCTTCATAGGAATCCATGATAAAACGTGGCAAGTCATTGTCGATAAAATGATGTTTCCCATTTCGAATACGAGTATGCCAGTCAGAACCTGCAAAGGAACTGTTTCCCAATGAGAATCGAAGGAATTTAAGAGAACAAAAAAAGAGATGAATTTTGACAGCTTGGAGTCATCTGGAAGATCATCACAGCATGAAGAATTTTCAAGGTATTCACTTTCAGGAAAGGTTAACAATTTATAATTGTCGGAGCGGTTTAGAAGGCATTCAGGATTAGGAAATTTTCGGGAAGAGTGTCAGTCACTACATGCACTTCTAGTCCCCAGATACTGCAGCACAAACATCCAGCCCAAAGTCATCACATGTGTATGAATTTCACGGTTTAACAAATAAGGAAGTTAATCGAGTGGATATGTGATACCAATACAATTTTGCAGAGTCCACACATGGTGAAACATGACAACTGCCACTTGCCAATGTGCACTGTATCATATCAATATTTTTCTCGTGGTAGTACGAAACTTCTTTCCCAAAATTTTATCATGAACATTATGCTAGAAGAGGTTTCTTTCTATAAGATCTCGATGCAGTATGTTTGACCCTGGGTGGAAGCACCCATTGCACATCGCACAAAAAGGTTCTATTTAACGAGGGGAAATTTGGCATCCACATAAGAGTCAGAGTAACCTAGCACCTACTTGTACAGCCAACTTCAATGTCTTTCCGAATTGGCATCTCCGCTAGTAAAAAAGTCGAAAAAGTGACTCAAATGAAGGCAGGGATAGCGACATAGTGCTTAAGCAAGCCTATGGAAAACAAGCACGCTAATAAGTTATGCAGACTAATTCGGAAGACTCCTTCTGCGCAGAACAACAAATAGGAAAGTGCATGATCGTAGCTCTAAAACCAAACTTCAAGTCAATAGAATCGAAATTCGGAGCTCGAGAAGAGAAAGCATGGAAGAAGAGATGATTAAGCCACACCTGCAGTGTAAGCAAAATGTATATGGCTTGTCTGGGCCAGTATTGCCTTCTCCAGAGGAGGAAGGGCAGCTTCGATACGCTTCGCGCGAGCCGATAGCTTATGGCTCCGCGAAGCTGTTGCCGCCACTTGCTCCTGCAGCCCATGGAAGACCTCCGCCGCGAATCTAATGCGCAAGGATGCGTGGTCTCAGAAGATGGTTCAAGAAAAAACAAAAAGAAATTCAAAATTTCCCACTGCTGCCAAACTCGTCATAAATTCACATCACAAAAGGGAAGAGCAACCGCAAGAATTCAAGAAAACAGTTCTAATCTGCAACAAATTAAACACTCGAGTCATCAAACGAGCTCCCTCCACTGAATCGAACGGGCGAAGCCCCGAATCGAGCTTCCCCAAACTAAGAAGCCCAAATCCAGAACGAAACCAAATGAACACACCCCCACACACGTCAACTAACAAACATTCCGTCGCATACCCATTTCTCCCCATCTCCCGAACTTCCCGGCTAAGCCCAGTCCCCTCACCGCTTTCTCCTCCGAGCATGCAAATGCAAAACGCAAGAACGAGAACAAGAACGAGAACAAGCAAGAACCCACGAAGCGCAAGCTCCAATCCATGCCAAACCCAATCAAACGAAACATCAAAAGAAACAAAGAAAAGAAAGAAACAACCAGAGAGAGAGAGAGAGGAGGGAGAGTGACGTACTCGGCGAGATCGCCAAGCTGGCGCAAGATCCCGACGAGGCCGGCGACGGCGACCCCGTCGAGGAGGGCCTTGGGATCCTCGCGGTCGGCCTCGCCGTGGAGCTCAGGCCGCCCCAGGCCGTACTCGTTCCGCACCCGCAGCCTCACCAGCGGCATCTCCTCCTACTCCGCCTCGCCTCGCCTCAGCTGCAGCTGCTACTACTACTAGAAGAAGTGCTCCCCCTCCCTCTCTCTCTCTATCCGCCCATATAACCACTCTTGACCGGAGCTATAGGCAGGGAAAGCGACGGGGCACGCACCACCGAAGACGACGACGAGGAGGAGGACGATGACGAGTAGTGAAGCAAACGATCAGGGAGTGAAGGAAGAGACAGAGACAGAGACAGAGACAGAGAAAGAGAAGCTCAGGAGGAGGAGGAGGAGGGGGTTAGGTGGGTGGGGAGAGATTGGAGCTGCTTAACTGCCTCCGACAGAGAGAGGGAGAGAGAGAAAGTAGAGAGAGAGAGAAGAGTAGAGAGAGATTGCCAACTCTGCACGGTATTCTCTCTCCTGTTCGAAAGGAAGGAAGATGGAGATCATGGTCGTCGTCGTCGTCGCCGTCGCCGTCCCCCCCACGCTCCCTTCTTCTCCCCTCGTCCTTCCTGCTCCTGCCTCCTCCTTCCTTTCCACGGCGTTCCCAGGGACCCGTACACCCGCGGGAATAGACGGAACTGGCCCTGCCGATCTTTCGGTATTGCCCTCGCTGCCCTCCTCCCGCCGAGCGGCGTCGTTTCGGGGCCCGGTTTGGGGGTCGGGTCGGGTCGGGTCGGGGGGGGAACGAACGTGGTCGCCTCGCCCCGCCGTGACGTTCCGAGCCAAATGCATGTCCTTTTTGTTGTTTTTTTCCTTGGGGATTTTCCGTGGTCAATAACGTATTATTAACTCATGAGAAAATGAAGCCCATCTTCTTCTTTTTTTTCTTTTCAAGTCTTAATTAAATATAGGCAAAACCGAAGTTATTCGAATCTCGATGAATCGCGAACAAAAAAAAAAACCGTGTAGAATCTACGCCGTCGATATTTACATATCGCGTAAGGTTTCGACGTTTCGGATCTGAAGATAATTCGAACGCATGTCCCGTGCAGATTGTAAATTGGAAGTGGAAAAAAGATTATAAGTGTAATTACCAACGTATAATGTTTCGACCAAAAAAGATTATAAATGTAAAATTTATACGAGGGTATTTTTTTCTTCTTTTCTTTTTTTCTTTTTTTGGGTGGTTATTTGCCTATTTGGTGAGGAAGTTTTTCTGTTGATATGGATCCAAGCCAACCGAGAACTAGAGGGAGATGTTTGACTTCTCTTTCTCAGTTTCAACCACGACCGGTGGGAGAGGACCCCTCCAATCGCTATCACCGTCTTATGGACAAAAGGCTTTCGGCTTCTTTTTAGGTCTCCTGAAAAACATGGAGACTTTAACCCCACTTCTCTCCCCTTGCCCCTTCTTCTCTTGCATATTAATCAAGAGCAAAAATGCGTGCGTGTGTGTGTATGTATCACTCTAAATTAGCATGCTAATTGGAGTGGGGTTATTTCCTCATGTTTGGCCCAATAATTGTCATTGGATTAAGACCTTAAAACTAAGAACCGGTATGGCCCCGAAAAGGCCATTGCCCCCTGTAAGTGACATGCGGAACGAAAGCTGTGCGGATACGAGATACATGGCCGACAAAATGTCGTCTTAAGAGTAGGTCAAAGGCTTCGGGGTTCTGTTGTAATGGAATCTGAGAATAACGTCAGCATGAGCTTGTATTTTAGATGTTTGTTGTAAGTAGGAAATCTTGCGTATCGAAATGTGTCTATCTAAATGACATGATATTACGAAGATATTGGATCTAATAATCAAATTATATCGGTGCTTCGTCGATCTAATGAGAAATCGAACAATTCCTACATTTAAATGTGCGGATGATGAATATGTTTTTACTCGATATAAGTCTAAAGTTGAAGTATTTTTGTCAATGCACGATATTAGAAGAAAAGGGTGCTACGGCACTAATCGAAGAGGCAAAAGTCACTTGAACCAAATTCAAAGTTCATTGATTGATTGTTACTTGTTTGTTATCAACACATGAGGTCAAGAGAGATGGCGTGATTTGCTCGATTATTACTTAGTGTTTTCTTGACTTTGATGATATGTTTAAGTAAAAGGTAAGCCAAAGGAGGGTAAGAACAAATCCGATGGTCCAAATTTGGACGATTGTTAATTGAAATTTATCTATTATAATCATGCCAAAGTAGAAACCCTCTTGCGCTTCTAAGAACAAGATCCACAAACATATATCATATAAAATTAATAATTATTTTCGACACAAGTATTTAAGGGTTTACCGAGAAAAGTGTCAAAAAAGTTATAAACATTTTTGCATTTGTGCCAATTTAGTTCTAAACCTTTTTTTGGTACCAATTCAGTCCCAAACCGTTTTGCATTTATGCCAATTTAGTCCTAAACATTTTTTTTTGCGCCAATTCAGTCCTAAACCTTTTGCATTTGTGTCAATTCAATCCTAAACCTTTTTTTTGTGCGAATTCAGTCATAAACCTTTTACATTTGTGCCAATTCAGTCCTAAACCTTTTGCATTTGTGCCAATTCAGTCCTTCTAGCTAACAGCTATTCACGTGTCAAAGGACTGAATTGGCACAAATGCAAAAGGTTTATGATTGAATTGGCACAAATGCAAAAGGTTTAGAACTGAATTGGCACTAATACAAAAGGTTTAGGACTGAATTGGGAAAATTACCAAAAAAGTCCTCAACCTTTTGCAGTTGTGCCAATTCAGTCCTAAATCTTTTGCAAACCAGCCAATTCAGTCATTTTGGCCGACCGGCGCTGACGTGGTCGCCGGTCGGCTGACGGGTCGCCGGCCGGCATCCACGTGGCAATATTTTAATATTTTTTTTATTATTTTCGAATTTTTTTTCCTTTTTTTCTTTCTTTCTTCGGCCCCCTGGGCCAGGGCGGAGGCTCACTAGCAAGGGCTCACGCGGCGATGGCGAGCTGGCTCGGGCGCTCGCCGGGCGGCCACCTCCCACGAGGCGGAGCTTCGCCATGGCGTGGCGAGTGTAGCCCGGCAAGGGGCTCGCCGCCACTAGGCGAGCTCCGCCTGCCTCGCCCGGCGAGGCGAAGCTCGTCTTGCGAGCTCCGCCCCGCCGAGGCAGAGGCGGGAGCTCGCCATGGCTCGCCCTGCCATGGCGAGCTCCACCTCACCAGAGCTAGGCAAGCTCGCCCTGCGACGGCGAGGGCCCAGCTCGCCGGAGCTGGGCCCTCGCCGGCGAGCCTCCCCCCGGGCCGGACAAGCCAGGGGGGAGAAGGAAAAGAAAAAAAAGAAAAAAAGAAAAAAAGTCGAAAATAATAAAAAAAATTAAAATATTGCCACGCTGAGCGGCCGGCGGCCACGTCACGGCCGCCAAAAGGACGAATTGGCTAGGTTTGTGCTAAAAGGTTTAGGATTGAATTGGCCAAAAAAAAAGGTTTAGGACTGAATTGGCACCAATGCAAATGATTTAGGACTGAATTGGCACTAATGTAAAAGATTTAGAACTGAATTAACACTAAAAAAAGGTTTATGACTTTTTGACACTTTTCCCAGGGTTTACCCATTTACCCCAATTTTTGTTTTCTTTTTCCTGAAAAATACAAACTTTTATGATACCAAGTGGTTGTTTGAATATTAATATATCCCACCCACTTTGATTTGTATTGGATTTGAGGCCATGATAATAACTAGATTCCTATCCAATTATAGATAAAATTATCAGGTTGTGTCAGTCAAAAGAGTTGACTGGTGAGTTGGATGCAAGTTTGGTGACGGGGTTTGACTTAATCCTGTGTGATCTGGGTACCTTAGTTTAGCGTTCACTCCACCCAATGTCCTCAAGTTGCTGCCAAAAAAGAAGTGGTTTTCATCAAAGTTGATGAACTCCATATTTAACTGAAGTTGTCTTTTCCAATGCTACCTAATCCATATCTTAAGATTTCAAACCTATGAAGAAAGAAACTTCTATGTGGCAAGCCAGGTGAGGCAGTTGGTGAGCCTAGGAAAAAATGTCATAATTACATCATCAAAGCTTGTGATTATAGGTCTCTTTTAGGTGCCAATAGAGATTATTAGATTTCTTTTATGTAATTAGTGTCTTGATATTACAACTAGTAATATGATGACTGCCACGCGCGCACCTATGAAATTAGAGTGGGAGTAATTAGATCTATTGCATGCGCTACGCGCACGGCATGCAAGAGATGGATGGAGGCTGTTTTGTAGTGGGAGGATGGATATATGGATTTGAAATGTAAGATATGTGCTTCGTGAAAGTAGGAGATTTATCGACTTATTACATAATTGATCAAAGACATCAAGTTTGGATTAGACTGACATCTAATTTGCTCTTTAATTTTTTCTATTGGAAAGAAGTGTATTTTAGTTATTTGAAGAGAGAGTGGACACCAATTTCGAAAGTTTGCTTGCTTTATAGGATAGGCAGATTGTATGATCCTATCGTATCAAGTATATGTAACATCCCATTTAGCGTGTGCTCAAATTAGGGCTTCCTCCAATCACACCTCTTATTGGGGAGTTATTAGACTTATATAAATATGGACACGTAAATTAGCATATGAATTTTTTGAAGTTTGGATAATATTTTAAGCTTACCATGTGAACTTCCAAATTAGGGTCAATTTGCAAGATCTGCATCTAAGTTTGTAGATACGAGTGTTTACTAGTAATAATGATAGTTTAGTGAACCGCATATGCATGGCAGACCCAACACATTATTAATCAAAACATGCAGTCATTATATCTCTGGTAATCTACTTTAATTATGATTAGTTAAGAAAAAGCTTACCTTTTCTTTTTATTTAAACCAGGTATTAGGAAAATCTTGGTTGCTGTTTAATAACTAATAGAACTAGTGCTGACAAAATATTTAATAACTAGTGACTACTGACTACATGATGGGATCCCTGAAGTTTCCTTTTCGAGGAGAATTCAATTGGACCATGCATTAATTTGTTTGAGCAGATCGAGAGACTACATTAACTGCTGGTGTAATTCTTTTCTATCTTGGAATTCATACCAAGTAAATTCTCTTATCAAATCCTACGGCATTGTGGTAATTAAAGGTGCACAATCAATCACTTTTAATGCTCTAAGCATTCTTTCAATACGTACAATCGAATGGTAAATTCTTGCTCGATACATGGGGAAGATCAATAGAATCGAATGCAATTCGTATATTTCGTATTGCACAAAAAAAATCAAAGACATCCAACAAGGGTATTCTCTGCAATAACTCGAAATCTCATTAAAAAATTACATTCTATGCATATTGTTTCGTCCACGAGCTCGGCAGTAGCTATAAACTTAGTAAAAATGTCGTTATCAAATGTAGAAGTGTTTCGGTATGTCGAGCTATTGAGAAAAAAATCACAGCCTTCTGGTGGAAGAACCAACCAGCAACAAAAGGAGTGCACTGGAGGAAGGTCGAAGTTCTCAAACAGAGAAAAGACAGGGGAGGCCTTGGGTTTAGGGATTTAATATCTTTTAACAAGGCCATGCTGGGTAAACAAGCTTGGCAATTAGCACAAAATCATACAACTCTGTGCAGGCAAGTTTTAAAGGGTATCTACTACCCAACCAAGAGCTTTTGGAAGGCAGAGAAGGGATCCAGACCATCTTGGGAATGACAGAGCATACTCATGGGGCGCACATCAATTGAAGACTCAGTCATGTGGTCAGTAGGGAATGGGCACAATATTAACATCAGGGAGGATAAGTGGCTCAAAAGGGGAATTATAGGGGGACCGGCTAATGCGGGGGACCCAAAAAAGGTTGATGAATTGATAGACCAAGAGGAAAGCACATGGAAGGAACCGCTTTTGCGACGACTATTCGATGAACAGGTAGTACGAGAGATCCTCACAGTACATATCAGACCACAAATGAATGAAGACAAACTGATCTGGACGGGCACGAAGGAAGGCGACTACACTGTTAAGAGCGGTTACAACACCCTTCGAAAAAAGGTAAACACAGAAACTCAACCTGCCTCCTCCTCTCATCAAACTCCTACTAAACTCTGGAACAGGATATGGAGAATGAAAACTCCCCACAAAATCAGAAACTTTGTATGAAGCGTATGCCAAAACGCTCTACCAACGAAGGAAAATTTGTACAGAAGGAAACTAGTACCTGATTTGAATTGCCCATTCTGTCGAGTTCATGCAGAAACCACAGAACATCTATTCCTACTATGCAAGTGGACGAGGGAAGTCTGGGATGTTCCTGCACTCAACATCCAGATCTCAAAATACCAAACTTCCCGCTTTGATGAATGGCTGATTAAATTCATACCCAGCAGCAACAACTCCCCTGAATTTGAGTTAGTCTCTGTTGTCCTCTGGGAAATCTGGAAAGCAAGGAATAGCCTCGTCTTTAGAAGGCTCCTCCCGGACCCACAGTTGCTGGTTGAAAGAGGACGACAATTGCTAAAAAATTTCAACAGATGGAACAACCTTGACAGACCAATTGAAGCTGTAAACCACTCTGAGGAGGATGTCTGGAGTCCCCCAGAGAGGGGCGAAACAAAGGTAAATATGGATGCAGCTCACCAACCTGGTTCCTTTGAAGGTTCAATAGCTTGTGTATGCCGCAACTCAGCTGGGATCTTGATCGACGGCTTTGCCAAGGACGTCCTCGCCTCCTCCGCCGAACAAGCCGAGAGCCTAGCCATGGTGGAAACCCTCAAATTTCTCTCTCCTCGTGCGGGTGAAAACATAATCCTGGAGTCAGACTGCCTAAATCTGGTCAACAGCTTGAAGTCTCCAGAAGGTATGCTGTGGGAACATCGTGCTCTCCTCAGGGAAGCACGTGAGCTGCTGTCTTCGTTTTCAAACATAAAATTGCAGTTTTGTAATAGGTCCAGGAATAGTGTCGCGGACTGGGTAGTTACGACACACAGTAAAAAAGCACTCACTGAACACTGGTTGACTCATCCTCCGCAGGCCCTTAGAGATCTACTTTGTTTTAAGACCCTGAAAGTGGGTTCTGTCTTTAATAGATATCAATGAACAGTTCTTTTTTCTGATAAAAAAAAAATGCAGAAGTGTCCTATGTAGGCGTGGTCCAATGTGACAAGACTCATACCCTTTGTGTAGTCTAATCAATCGTAATCATCACATTCATAAATATAGATTAGACATTAAGGACAAGCTCTCACAATTCACTTTCCTTCGACTTGAGGTGAATTTTTCTTTTCTTGGATGTGGTCCTTTTTGTGGGAGCTGTCGTGAAAATTTGTTGTCCATTAATTTGCCACCTAATTTCAAAGGGCCTACCGATGCCTCTCCAAATCCGAAGGCTACTCCCCTTTCGGGTCATTTTCGAGAACTTACTCCTTTGTATACAAGACCGAAAATTCACAAAATCCCGAAACGCATCGCCCATTTCGCATCTACTTCTAGGTCCCCACCAATCGATCGGATGTGCAGGATAGTGCAGTATATAATGAATGCACAATTAATCATAGTGTACCAAATAGATCATACGAATGCAATGAATGCACAATAAACCAAAGTGTACAAAATAGATCATATAAATGCAACTTTAACTTTGTCCATGCTAGACAGCGAGCTTTAGTCTGGAATTGCTCTTCTGCTCTGGAATTGTGAAAATTGTTCATTGCCTTGCATGTGCTTTCTGCAACTGCATAGCAAAACTCTGGCAAAAGAATAAATACATAAAACAATGAAATAATAAAAAACGACAAAAGAAAAAAAAAACACAGCTGTAATTCAATAGCTAAGTGGGCCCATAGGCCCATAGGAAGTGGCCCAGCAAGACATTAGCTTGTGGCCTCTGAGACGAGGTTTGGGTCCAGTTCGTTCGGAATCTCTGGATGCAGCAATAGCGACAACTGCATGATCTAAAACTTTAGTGTCCTTTTGGTCGCACATGTAGATCTGGCTAGTGAGCAGGATTTTATATATGATGTGACGCCTTTTATTGGTCGACCCGATAATCAGGTCGAGCAATCGAAGTTATTGGGCTCGACAATTCCAATATGAGGGCTCGTGATCATGGGTATCCGACGGTTCAGATCCCTCAGCTCATAACGGAATGAATCGAGAAAAGAAGTTTGTCTGATATTTAATTAGAACACCGTAATGATCTTTGATCTTTTCTCCATAGGCAGGCTTGTGAATAGACCTTGCTTGTTTGTGCTTTCTTCTTCTTCTTCTTCTTCTATCTTCTTCTTCGTTGTGCATGCATTGATGGACTAGGGTTGGTGTTCTTGTTCCTGGTCAATGCCTCTTATGTTTGATAATGCACTGAAGCCGCTAGCACCATGATTTTAGCCATTAGTTTTTTTAGCCAACAGCCAGTTCCAAATGCCCAAAAGCTGTGTGCAACTTTCTGTGCCATGACCGGTCCGAGTCTTACCACTATCGGCAAGACAAGCACCAGTAATCAAGCCAAATTCAAGGACCGAGGTTAGGAGTTTGAAAGAGCGTAAAACAAGAACAACATGAAATGATAAAACGAGGTTTTTTGTCTTTAATACAAAATCAAACGGGGATATGTACGTGTGCTGTTGCTCCACTAGTACATTTGGAGACGCATGTTTAAGTAATGATACATCATTGTAAAAGCTAAATAAACGTTGGAATCTAGTTCGTTTTCCATTATCGTGAACCCAGAATCACGAGTGTGTCTCTGGACGAGCGCCATTTTACATTACAGTTGTATTTCATTTTTGCCAATTACAAAGTGTCTGGGGAGTCACCACCGCCCTCAGCGGCTGCGTTGGCTTCGGGCTCCCCTCCCCCCACGAAGGGTAGGAGTTCGAATCCCAGCGCTGGCGTTAGGGATTCTTAAGCGTGACGTCGTGGTGGTGGGTCCTGCGCTAGCGTCACCCCGGGTTTACCTCCCCGGCTGTCGGCCGTGCAGGGAGTTTCCGGGTTACCAAAAAAAAAAAAAGTGTCTGGAGAGTCTTTGAGTAGCTGACTAATCATCTTTTTGTACAGCAACCTCCTAACGATCCCACGAATAATCCAGTAATTACTTGGAGTATGTGAATTTGTTTTTTGAGGGTGATACCGAGAAAACGCGCAAAATCGCTTTGAAAAATCAACTCAATAAAATGACCTTAAACGTGATCAATTGCTCAAATCAAGATGACAATAAACAACCACAAAACATTATATTCGGGAAAAATACCAAAAAAGTCATAAATTTAGTGTACTTGTGCAAATTGAATCCTAAACATTTTGCTAATTTGCCAATTTATTCCGATCAATTTTGGCCGGAAATTGCTGACGTAAACGTTGTCCGTCTTACGTGGCATGGTCGGCACTGACGTGAAAAATTGTAAAAAAAAATAAAAAATATATAATCCTTTTCTTTTCTTTTTCATTTTCCTTCTTCCTCCGGCAGTTATCAGGCCTCGGCAATGGTTTGCGACCGACCATAGGCGAGGCTTGAGCTCGCTAGGATCTGACGAGTTCAAGCCTCGCCAACCTCACCACATTTGCGAGCTCGAGCCTCGTCGGATCTAGCGAGGTCGAGCCTCGTCGGCCCTTGCCTATGGCTAATCATCGAGGCTTGGCGACCGGTGGAGGAAGAAGGAAAATTGCCCACGTCAGTGCCCGCTGTGCAACGTAGGACGGTTGGCATCCACGTCAACAATTTCCAGTCAAAATTGACAGAAATGACTAAATTGACAAAAAAGTTTAAGAGTAAATTGGCATAAGTAAAGTATGCTCAGGTCATTTTTTTCGGTAAATTTCCCCATTAATATCCCTAGACATTAAAGATCAATTTCTTTCTACATAGGGCTCAATATACATGGCTGGCTTCAAATTTTCAGTAAGTATGTTGATGTGCTTGCCTTTTTTTAAAGTGTTGATTTGAATTTATAGAGGCATAGCTATTGCATATAAGTAGGCCACAAAATCTCCATTGGAAAGGGAAATCAAATTTGAAAGTTGCATAAGCTTATAACTCCGATTATGACAGTAACGGTGTTTTCAATACTTGGGACGATAAAAGAAGCTACTTTGACCTCTATATTGGTCATCTTTTGAGGATTAGAGCTTGGTTTAGGTTTTTTTTTAAAGTATCCCTTATAGCTCATCTATATACGTGGTCTTCCTCCACTTACTAGCTTTAACGTAATATCGGCTTGGACTTTTTAAAGTAATATCGGCTTTGATGTGGTTAAACTCTCTTGTGGGTGTATCAATATATCATGTGAGGCAAAAGAATGTGACACGTCGAATATGTTTTCCTCTTTTTTGGGCCAGTACTCGACATGAATATCTTCACCATTAAAGTGGAATGACCAATCAACATGACAAGGGCAAGGTCACGCCTTATTTGTTGGAAAGGGCACTATCCAGCTTTTTATAGCTCTCTAGCAAATGCTATTGCCATATATTCAATTGCTCATATAATAGATTTTATGTCAAGTCAAATAATGGTGTCCTTGAAGAGCCCAGATCATCAAGAATCTCACCTGCCTCCAATGACCCATCAGCCTCATCATAGAGAGCCAACAAAACATCCATGGAGACCAAACAAACAGCAAGCACCACCACAGCCATGGAAGAGCTAAACAAGGATAAGAGAACACATGCTTCAAAGATCCTTCTCGTGCTTCTTGTGAAAATCTCACTTTTTAGTGAGGATTGATGTAATGGAAAATCCATGCTAAACTGAAGCGATGGCTCTTGTTTAGAGGGAGATTCAGCCCGAACAGTTAACATAGAGAAGAGAATGAGGTATGAGGCATTACGTCTGGAAATCTAGATTTAATTGAGAAATGGAAACTGAGGTAAATAATGAAAGAACCAACGCTACGAGTAGCAAAAAATATTTCCTAGTAGCAGCACGGGAATGGTCATCGATCCGATTAAAAAAAGAAAAGGCACAAAACTGATCGAAAAGAAGACAAGAAGAAAGTTCAAAGAAAAGATAAACATTGGGCCAGCCAAAATCAACTTCGCCCATTTGGAGATCGCCAAGAGAATCCACCCGGGCCCGAGGCCGCAGGGCTTGCGCTAGGGTGGAGCAAGGGCTGTCTGCCACCGGTCCTGCCTCCGTTCCGGGGGAGGAGCCGACGTGGGTTATTGCAAAGTGGTGGGTGTCGGCCATTTCTCGAATGCATCTGGCATGAAGGAGATGGACCCATGAAATTGAAAGACTGTAGAGACAAGTGCAATAAGGAACGCAAGTGCCTGGGGTTCTTCTATAAGCAGGGATCCTCCAAGCGCTTGCTTGCTGTTGAGTTGAGTACTTTCAGTGTGGTTTCATAATCATCTCATGTTGCCTACATTAAGATGTCAAAGTTGGATGGATTAATTGGTTTGTGAGGAAGGAAGCTATCAAATCACATGCCATGCCTATATTTGATTGTCTGAATTTCTAATCGGGATAGAACTATATATGATATAAAATTTAGGAATTTTGCTATTTCCTATCTAGTAGTTGGTAAATCGCAGTACTTAAACTGGATATTTTCATAAATATCTTGTCCATTATTTTGTAGGAACCGTGTATTTGTGTAGATAACTATATGCATTTAAGAGAAATGACAAAAAAATATCTCCACAATTTGACAACTTTAAAAATTTGCGAATTATTTGTTTAAAAAACGTTAACGGTAAATATTGAATATTAATCAATAGTTAGGAACCACATTTAACAAATTGATAGTTTGAGAACAACATTGCATATTTGATCAAAGTCTGGGGACCATTCGTGTCATTTTCTCGAGAAATAACTTTTGCGACCTTACACTTTTTGCAAGTGTAAACCTTGAGTCACCTCGAACTAGCTCAATTGATAAATTTTTCAGTCGTATCTTGCAACATCTAAGAAAGTGCACAAACGCTCACTAGCTAAATTGGGACATTTTTGTGGCTCTTCTCAGATATAATTTGGGAAAGTACACCTACATTATAGAAATTTGTCCTCGAATGAAATTTCTTCCTTGTTATAAAATAAACAGTTAGGGAATAATAATGCCAGGCCACAAAAACTATTTGCT